AATCGATATGAATGAGTCAGGTAGTAAATTCAGCGGATGTACACAGCAAATTCAACTCTCTGTTCCCTTATCTAAACAGGTCTCATTTTCCCTGGTTGCATTATATTCCCGAAGAGAAAACTGGGTAAAACGTGGTGAAACCAGCGTCTTAGCTATCTTAAGAAACATTCCTTTTAAGAGACCATTTTATATCAAAACTTGTTGCTTTTCTTTCTTTTTTGTGGCATATACAGACTTAGTTAATCTGTGAAAGAGATGTGTCTCAAAAGAAAAGTTGTCCAAAACTCCGATAGTGTAGCATTGTGACTAGCGAAAATGAGACCTATTGAGATAAGGGAACAGAGAGTTGAATTTGCTGTGTACATCCGCTGAATTTACTACCTGACTCATTCATATCGATTTTTCCTTTTCAGATAGAGATTATAAGAAGACAAAAGCATTGTCTGTTCGACGACCTATTAAAATTTGATTGCACTATGTTCTCGAAGAAAAATCGAGTAAAACATAGTGTAATCGTAGATAACAAAACGGTGACTGGAAAAATGTGGAACTAGTACGTACTGGTGCAACATGCAGCGCACTTGTAGTACCGACCTTTTTTCAGTACTGTATTGGGATTTTTCTGCGGGAACGTTGATCATGTTTCTCATAAGACCTTACAAGAATCTTATAAGAATCTTGTAAGAATCTGATAAAAATAACGTACGAGTCTTGCTCACTCTTACCAATTTCTAATGCATTCTTGTAAGGTTCTTATCAGATCCTTATAAGCTTCAGCAGAATTCGTGTCACTCTCATGAAAGATCTTACATAAGAATCGAGTAAGAATCATTCGAGGTTCTGCTCAAATATCCACCAGTTGTGTTTGGGAGGTGCCAAAGTTCAGAAGAAAGAACACAAGTTCATAATTTCTATCTAAAACAATTTCACAGTGGAATGAGTTGCCTAGAGAGGTAACTGCGAAGTTCTCAACTACAGCTTTCAAACGTGCCTTGCGGAAGTATTTGAGATTATAACATCAGTAATTCTAAGCCATATTTCTTTCCTTTATTTTGTATTTTTTGTTTATACTTTTTCTCTCAAACTTAGTTTTTTCCTTTTTATAGTATGACTTAGTCATAGTTTTACTAAACTTTTTGTCATTCCCACTGACATTTAACACCACTGACTTAAAATAAATTGATCGATTGTGTCTTCGCCGAGGCACTTTACATGTCTGTTGACATAGATGCTTACCCTTTTGACCAGCTGGACCTTGTGGTCCCATTACACCTGGTACTCCTTGATCACCCCTTTCACCTGATGTTCCTGGACCACCCCTTTCACCTGATGTTCCTTGATCACCCCTTTCACCTTAGAAAATAAGAAATTCTGCTAAATCTTGTGCAACAATCTCGTGGTTAGATAAAGTTTTCCTTTTATTGAATGCATAATGCTTTTCGTACATATAGTTAATATTATAACGAACTAGATTCTAGAAGATATTGAGTTTGTGTCTTAGTCGAGATACTTTTCATCTGTGTTGACACAAACACCTACCCTTTTGACCAGCTGGACCTTGTGGTCCCATTACACCTGGTACTCCTTGACCACCCCTTTCACCTGATGTTCCTTGACCACCCCTTTCACCTTAGAAAATAAGAAATTCTGCTAAATCTTGTTCAACAATCTCGTGGTTAGATAAAGTTTTCCTTTTATTGAATGCATAACGCTTTTCGTACATATAGTTAATATTATAACGAACTAGATTCTAGAGGGTATTGAGTTTGTGTCTTAGCCGAGATACCTTTCATCTGTGTTGACACAAACACCTACCCTTTTGGCTAGCTGGACCTTGTGCTCCTTGACCACCTAAGCTGGTACGGCAATTGAAACATAGGCATCCATGACCAACATCCTTCCATTTCATACAGTTTTGTGCTGTACACTCATAAGCACACTCGGATGAAGTATTTACTAAAACTAAAGTTTTTTCTCCGAAAACACAATAGAGCTTTCATTAGTAACAAAAGAAGTCTTCCCAATATAGGCAATGTCACCACAAGCCTTCTTTGATAAAAGTAAAATCGTTTTGAAATTCATCAAGTTTTATGTTGAATGATATGCCAGAGACCAATTATTAACTTGCTTCAAGAGCAGAGTGTTTTTAAGAGAAGTGTGACGATTTCGCAAAAGAGTGTTTAAATCGTAGGGGAAAACGTCTCAGAGCAATGGATGATACTATGGTTTACCATCGTCCTGAATTTTCAAAGACTATACCGGATATAGTCCGTACCTCATGACAAATATAGTTAGGGAAGCCGTCAGAACTATGAACGGATCAAACGAATCATTCGGATCAATCGTAGAATACTGTAAAGCGCTCCTCTGTGATGTTTGGATAAGGGAGAATCGTTACTCCCCGAACCCCGCACACTTTTAATAAAAAGTGACTATATCTATATCCCAAACTCCGCACATAATTACATGAATTCGAAATATACGTGATCTCAAACTCCGCACACTTTTTAATTAGCAAGTAAAACATGGACTGTAAGAAATAGAAAAATATATCGTTATATCATATATTCTTAATTTGATTAGAATAAGAAATAGAAAAATCCATATACTCTTTCATATATTCTTAATCTGATTGTGGTATTTCGTCCGTATAGCGAAAAGCTACTGCTACACTTCTTTAATGTGAACATAATTTAAATGCTGTGTAAATAATATAAATGATGACTTATACGGCAAATGATTAAAACTCAAGAAATTCTGGGAAACTGTTGGAGAAACTGGGCCAGCTAATATTAGAAATGAGTAATCAAATAATTCCTAAAAAGGTATATATTCTCTGCACAAAAATATATGTGTACCCACAAATATTTTACGAAATGGAATTTGAAATCGGTCAGCGTGGTTCACAAATTTGCATTTATAATTCACATCGATATCGGCATATCAGAAATAATAAAAAAGGTTCAGTATCATGGCACTGTATCAACAAGGAGTGTAGTGCTGCGATATTAATTCATTCAAACAAATTTGTGATTGAACAAAAGCCAAGCAAGAAACAACATGTATCAACTGAGAATCAAGCATTTAAATTGTGTATAAATAAAGAAGCGTATGAACTGGGTGGAATGAGTGAGTCTTGAAGAATATATGTCGAGTGTACGGGCAGTAGCTTATCGCTCTATAGACGAAATATCACAATCAATTAAGAATATTAAGTTAAAAAGTTTGAACTTTTCTCTTCGTATTTTATTATATTAATAAAGTAATACAATTAACTAAACGTAAACAAAATTTGAGGAAAGAAAATGTTCGAACATTTACAAAACACTCAAAGAATATAGGAGATATCTTGAATAAAACTAGAATGGTAGCATGCAACCAACTTAAAAAGGAATCCAAAAATTGTATAAAAAGTGAAAAAAGATCCCCTATACTTATTTGAGTTTTAATTCGCGAAGTGGGCAGAATATAGAATAAAATCATAGACAGCACTACTTCTTTTGAACAGACAATAAACGAACATGTCAATAACGATATAAAATCTGCCTTTTTCTTATTTTCTTCTTTAAAGAGAAATAACGTTCTATATACATATATACGAGTCATGCTGTACCACGCAAGTTATACTATTCTGAATATACAAAAATCTCAAGATACACTTTTCTAAAAAATATGCCGAATTTTGATTTAATCTTATTTTCATGTTTCATTTTCTACATAAATTAATGTGAATATTCACTCAATAACTAAAGTTTGAACACATTATGATTGATTATCATGACCTGAAGAGAAAGCCGGAAAGTCATGGTAGTCAAAAAGAACAGTTTATCTAGCTGCTGAATATAAAAGAAGAAAGTATGATTTATTAAACGTTAATCACCAATATTGAGAGCCACATATCTTAAAAACTAAACGGGATCTTTTTCTGTCGGATATGTAAAAATCTCGAGAAAAAATCCATCAAATTTTGATTTGCTATACTGTAGTGTAGGAAAGCATGAAATTTCAGCAAGATCCTCGAGTACAAATCACGGGTACCTTAGTGAGATCTTTTGGACGTACAACATAATCGACCATTCCTACTCTCTATGACTTCCAAACCACTTTTACATATCAGAAAATGATAAGGCCAAAGAGAATATATATATATATATATTGCCTATAATTAATTAGCATAGTTTATGTGCTCTTTGATGTGTTATATATAAGAGTTAATCAATACTAATCTATTGGAAAAAATGAATAAAATGGATAAGAAAAGATAGATTTTATATATTTTCTCTCTTATACAAACATCACAGAGGAGCGCTTCACATTATTCTACGAATGATTCGAATGATCCGAATGATTCGTTCATAGTTTTGACGGCTTCCCTTATACCAAACTTTTTATAAGACAGCCACAAACGAAAAGCTATGTTGTTTAGTTAATGCAGCTGTGTGAAATGATAACATTCTTTTATGTTGTGACAAAAAAGTGTTTTCTATTCTCCATTTCCATTTTTAAGTTTTCATTTTCTTTTACAGTTATTTGTATTGATTTGATAATGACTATAATAGATTGGGACATTGCAACAACATAAAAGAATGTTATCATTTCACATAGCGGCATTAACTATAAAATTTATTTTAAAATTGTTACCCATCTCAAAAGAAAAGCTATGTTCTCCGACCGCGTAGCGTTTTTTGTTGTATAGCATAAAAATAGCTTACGTACCGACCGGTAATAAAAATATGCAGCACAGAATACGAATCGTTTTAAAACCCATTATTGTTAAAAAACTTGTTTCCTACTGTTTATTTGACCTAACGTGTGTATGTAGTATAGTTCTTCATAATCTTCTCTTTCTGGTATAATGACACATTATTCATGTACAACAGATAGCCGCATTTTCTCCTTTCTATCAAAACAACAACATCATCATTTATCATACAACAATTTATCTTCGAAAAAAGAGAAAAACTTGTAGTCATGAGGTACAGCAGCGTTGGGTATTACATTTTTGAGAACCCAAAAGTATTTTTTATAAACAGGTTTTTATAAGAGGGTCAAGCGAAGCCTCGATTTTCAGTGATTCGAGCGTGGTATTGGACTTCAGCGAAGCCCAGAACTCGCACCTGGTGACTTTGGGTAACCTTAAATAGCATGAAACATAGATAATCAACCATATTGAACCTGGTGACAGATTGTAGTCCATGAAACGCTCTATCAGATGGTATATTTAGTCGAGTGTCGTAAAACAAAAAGTAACCACATGATTGCAGCTATGAAGAATAAATCTCACATCTCGGATAGTAGTAAATGCTATTTCGTTTTTTTCTCTGCTCAAATGCAATTAGTTTTCAATATTTTATATATAGAAATGTTACTGCGGAAAAGAGCTTTCGAGTGATATATAATCAGTGTGGTTAACTGTGAAATAGAACGATAAAACATAGTAAATACGATTTCCGCCAGGCTGCGAGCCGAGAAAATATTGAAGTGATAAAATTTCTCTTGAGAAGTAGTTCTAGGGTTTAGACAATGCCCAGTTCGACTCTTCTAGTCACATCGTACCTACCCTAAGAATAAAACTGAATTCGGTTAATGGGTCGATTTCATCACAAAACGATCACCTCCTTTGTAATTTTTCTTGCCGATTTCTTCTGAATAGCATATAGAATAGCCGAAATACTGTACATCCTTATCAACGATAGTGATTTGTTTTAAAAACGTTAGCTGCCTTGTTTCCTCCAATGATTTAGTATCCTATCTTCTCCTTATTCCCGTTTAATATATGACGCATTTAAACTGGTCGAAAAAATTTTGATTTGCATTTATTTAAAAATTGTGCGTAGTGAATCCGTAACTAATCTAGACTGTAGCTTCGTAGATTCCGAAAAACGCTTTTTCATACTTCTGTGCAATAAAGTCACAATTTTTGCGGTAATGATTTTTCCACAAATATTTTGTAAAAATATCCTAATCGGAGTATCCGTTGTGAGACGATACTAATAGTAGTCAGAATATTCAAATTGGCATGTAATAAGAGCGCGGATGAGTAGTAACAAGAGTAACAGCTATATTTTGAGAATGTATCTACCTTTTCTATTTTAAATTGCTAAAGTACATTATTTGGATCATAGTGGAAGAAATCACGAAGAAATCAAATTTTTCCTTTTTTTTTTTTTTAGTAAAATCTTAGGTTTAATAGATACATGAAAAGAAAGGTGACATTCCGGATCATCAGAAAAGACATTTCGATTCCACGTTGATTCATAGCATCGTGTTCAAAATAAATCATTTTTAGTTGAGATTTCAGTTTGAAAGTAATCGATATTGAACTTTTCTCGTATTTCTTCTATATTTTTTTATTTTTATAGTAACTTACATGAAGAAATATTCAATATACTTTGTTTTTTAAAAAACAGCAAAGTATGGATGATGAAAATTGAAAAAGATATTAGTAAAATACTGAGACCGCCGTTTATTCTGCCGCACCCGTTATATCTGTATTACATAAGCGAATACTACAAACCTATGACTTTTGTAGAAGTAAAATATTTTGTGTTTGAAACTTATTTGATGGATGCGAAAACTCTTACAAACAAAGACATGCATGTTCTTTACGTGAAAAGTCATATCGATGTTAGTACCGCTTGTTCAGAAAGTTACAGGAGATGTCTGGCTATAGATTCGAAACCAGTTATTAAAATCTTGTCGTGGGTACAATATTCGTAAAATTTTGCATACTATGATATTAGCTTATATCTATAGTTACGTAAAAATCAATAGTTTCAAAGTTGATAGACTAGTAGTAGCACATACATTCTCTCAAAGAGTTTTTTGTTGACATCTTGAATACGTATAACCTTTTATGTTTAGGTTGACCGATGAAATGCTTTTAGAAATATGCAAATATTTTGATGATTATGATCTTTATATGACATTTATTAATTTGAATATGAGAATTAACAGAATAATTCAATCGTTGCAAATACATATCGATTTTACAAAAATTGATAAAAAGTCAATATTTGATTATTATTGCACAACAACTCTATTGTTTTTTTCCACAGAAAATGTCCGGTCAATAGCGCATATAAAAAACTAATTAGCCAACTTTATTGAGTAGAAAAAAATTCCCATTTTTTTTTTGATCGGATATCAAGAATACAGTAACTAAGGCTGATTTCTCTTATGAAGATCTTCTATTTTCGTACATAGAAATATAACTGTTTAGTAGTTTTACGATTTGTCTCTAATCTTACTTTAAAAAAAACAATGCTTATATGAGCTACAATTCATATAGTACTTGCTTTGTCTATGCAACGTGATAGTGCTTAGTGCCTTGTATTCAAACGAGTCAACGTTTGTCTTGAGAAAACGCAGCGTAGCTCGGTCTAAAGGTTTTTAGATTCATAATATTTCTGGAGCCAGAAAGAGAACAATAGTTAATATCACAGTTAACTTTTTCAAATTGGCTTCTTATATAGTATTTTTTAGCCTTATCATGTAAAATGTCAGTTGCGTTCAGAGACCATCGCAGGACAGGGCTGCCCTGTTGTCCTGCCGGACAGGGCGATATGTTTTTTTTGCCTTGTCCTGTTGCAGAACAGGGCAACAAAAAATTCCTTGATTTGTCCTGTGAGAGATTGGTTTCTGAGATTTTCAAGCTTCTTTTTAAGTAAAATTTTGAGATCTCTCGTATATGTGAGAATAAAAATGACAGCTAACTTTTCTAAAATTGATAATTAATAAAAAAAAGGATTCTGCTACGCACGAGAAACACATCCAGTATTTGTGATGAGTTTCTTGAAGATAAAATCTTGTAGGTTAAGGAAAAAAACTTTCTTTTGCACTGCAGGCGTCCTGCCCAGCCGGACTGGGCAGAGTCAAAAAAAGTTGTCCTGCGATGGTCTCTGGCTGCGTTTTATTATTATATGGCGAGCATGGAGGAATTTGTTGAAAAGAAAGAGTGGGCGTGTGAGAGGAGAAATCATTCTTTTAACACATAGCAGTTAATTGTCTTTGAAGAAGTAATCAAATCAATTAGAAAAGAAAATAAAGTTCCTGTATACATCTATATAAAAAATACTCTAAAATGAAATGTTGTGTAACAGTGGAATACAGGAATAATCTCAGAATAGAGGCATAGCTCCCGAAGCATAGCTGTCTTGCACTTATAAAAGAAATATTAGATTGTATTTTCCTAAAACAATTACAGATATAACTAAGTCGTATTGATCAAAAGACATATATACCCAATACTTGGTTCTCTCTTCCCACCCCCCATCACGGCTGGGCCATGAGAAATCGCGCGAGCAGTGCTGTGACTTAGAATCTCTCACCTCCATGATTCATCCTATATTTTTTCAGCTTGCTACGTATTCACGCGCAATATACTTGGTGGTCTCTTTTTTCTTTTCTGTGTTATTCTTACATCATCATTTTTGCTTGTATTCTCTTTTTTTGTAAAAAAGCCACTCTTTATTCTTCGAGGGAAGATAGGTCTATAACAGTTCAGTATGTTTAATATACCGAGCTATGGAATTAAAGTTTATTACATAGTCAAATTTATTCAGTTGTGCATCAGTACACGACACTTTGAAAACATAAATTTTCACTTGCGGCCAGCTCGTCAGGGGTATACTGCGGGCAGTTGCCTACGAATTCATGTTAAAACAGAACAGCACGAGGATGTGCTGGTATCTGGAACGAGAGGCATATGATAAATCGTAACTGGATCAAATACCTCAGTGGTTAGATCATCGACTCACAATGCTGGGCTACTGACAAGGGAACCTCGCAAAGTATTACACCGATTTTTCGTCGATACTGATCACAAATTTGGTATACGTTTGTGCCCATATGGTCTTCTGAAGTGAATCTTTGAAAAACCGGTCCCCAGAGGCCCATCTGGAAATTCTATATATCCTATAAAAGTGAAAAAAAGTATTCCTTATCATTTCACGTTGTCAAATAATTTTTAACAGAACATACAGAAAAAACTTTAAGGATGGCCATGACCATGACGTTTTATTTATGTTTTGAATGTTACTTGTTTTTCTTCTGATGATAAGAATTTTTCGTATAGTAAAGGGCTTTCTACTGAATCATTTTTAGTTATTTCTATTCAAATAGTACAAGTTATTTGTTAGCATTCATATCTTTCATTTTTATGTGTTTTTTATCATTTTTAATAGACATATCATTTTGAGATAAATTATAAACAATCAAAATGAGTTTCAATTGGATTTGAAAAACCCAAATAAATATTGAATAGACACACTCACATTATGCTAGAATAAGATAAAAAACTATCCGTTAAAATAATCCAATAAAATTTGTTCAAACGCAAGAACAAAGGAATAAAGATTTTAAATATACGCACCATGTTATAGTTTGTAAATCCCACCTTAATGATATATGTGGTAGCACGTTACGGTAGTTGGAACAAATCTCCTGCTATTTACTGTACAGATTGGTCTAATATTTAAATAGCATAAACCGATAACAGTCTGTTAATTAAATTAATCGTTGAATGCGCAAGGTAGAAGTGATTTTTTTCGAATACCAAACGGTTATCCCACGTGGAATAATCCGTTCATGGTGAACGTTTTCAGCTATTCAATATTTTGAATCAAGTAAAACATTTGAATATTCAGTTGTTTCTGGCGGCGATTTCTCATCTTCCACTGGATTTTCTAAACGTTGGGCATTATAAAGTAGTTGGGAAATAGTTGTATAATGAGCATCATTGTTATGCCTGAGAAGTTGTTTAGCCGGCTGAGCAAAATGACTAACGCTTTTTTCGTCAGTGGTGCTATCAGTTGATTGAATAGGAGCAAAGAGCAAATTTTGGATTGTAAAGTTTTCATGTGCTGATTCTAATGATGACGAATGAAAACGTTGTAGAGCTAATTCTAAATCTGTTAATGCTGCTTTGATATGTGCTTTATATCGTCGTTTTCTCAATGTAAACATTACTTGTGAAAATGCTAAGATAGAAAACACTAATAAATATAAAGTAAGAAATAGAAAATACGAACGCTGACTGCGAAAGTTAAGACAATTTATCGTCACAATCGAATTGTTATTGACGAATTGTTCACTGCATATAATGGCGCACACATTATAAAAACCGACCGCTAAATGTTGAAGTTCCAATGAATTTCTCCAGAAGGTAAAATTTTGAGCTGGCATATAATGGATTTGTTCCCGATTTCGTGTAATAGTAAACTGGTATTGTTGACAATTACGAAAGTGTAGATAAGATTGATCAATTTCAAATTGAACTGATGCTGAATAAGAATTAAACAACCGAGCTCGCATATGAAATGGGCTGAGAACATATATCTCTTGTTCTGCAACTATCATTATGTTCAAAATACTTATAGCAAATACCCTAAATAATGCCATTAATCTGTAAAAATGAGAACTAAATAAATCTAACGATATATAGATGATATCATAGTTTTTACTATTTTTTAACGTTCTTTTTTTATAATTTTCAGTGAGAATAACCGCAAAAAAAACTAGTTTAGAAGAGAGAACTTTGTCGGGTGTCATGCAATACAAAGAATCTGATTGAGCAAATATGCGGTCTTTTTTCGTAGAACGTAGTTAAACTTTCAAAAATTTTGATGAAACGTGTGTAGTAAGACTTTTCTGCGTATAACTGAGGGCTTGCAATTCAAAGCAAGAATGGTTGCTAAAATTTAGAACTGCCATTTTATAATCATAAACACTGTAAATCTCACCATTTTCTGTTTCTAAGTACATCTTACCAAATGTCTATACAATGATTTCGTTTTCTGTCCAAATACTCTTTTGCAACGAATATCGTATTTCTTAGACTACACAAAAAAGAAAGAATTATTAGCTCTATAAGATAGATAGATATGCTCTCTCTTTCCCTGTTACATATATAATAAACAGAATAAATAATAATAATAATAAACTGTACAAAGTGAGTGTGGAATCGAAAGATAGCAAGTGTGTAATATAGAACCAGTGATAGTGAAAAGAAAAAAATAACGAATTTTTCTTTCCTTACTATATACGGTATACAAACATATGATTATTTTTTTTTAGCTTTTATTCTAAGAAGAAAAGCATCAAGTCTAATATCATGACATAGAACATTGAATAAAAGTCAAAATTGATTAGAGTTTTAGAAAAAATATCGTACTGATTAGAATTTCTCACAATATGGGTCTTAGTTTTGTATAACTTGCGGCTGTAACATTTTGTGACCGTGATGTATCATGTAAAACTGAAATCAGCCCATTAAACTGGTACGAAAGACGCAAAAGGAGGAGATGTTGAACGTTTCACCAAAAGATATTTACAGATTACAGTTAGTGTTGATAATGTGATTTTGAGATGTAATGACGGAAACTATTTCTATTGTAGAATGAGTGAAGGTAAAATGTATCCGTGTTTTAATGAATTCAACTGCTTAAAATATGGGCTAGTATTAGAACATCAGCCGACTATGCACGCATCAGAAAGCATGCGAGTCTAATACTACAGACATTGAAAAAGTCCTAAATCAACATTTGTGGTCGATGTCATTTCAAATGGTTTTGAGGTTAAGAAGAAAATTATTTGATATCAAATAATGTCGAATGTAGTAATGAATGTAGTAAAGTAGGATTATATTATAAGACCGTTCGCAGTTCGAAAATCAACAACTACTGTCCGTCCCCAAATACAAACAGGCGGTTGCTTTTGAATAACTTTTGATAGAAGCCAGCTAGAGAGCTTCGACTTTCGCCATGCGAAAGAGGAGACTTGGAGGCATCTTTCCATAAGCAAAAACTTTTACAAAGGTGTTTTCTGGAATAGATTTTCTAGGAGATCTTTGGAAAACTAGGCCGCGTGTAAAAACTTTCCAATAGAATTGTATTAATTCTCCTCCATGGTCTGATAGCCCAAGGTGTCCGCGTCAAAATGAGAGTTGAGCGAAACCTTGATTTTCCGCTACTCCGGTTTTGTGTCGGATTTTCTACGAGTCTACTACTTACTATTCACTCAATAAACATCAGAACGAGTTCAAAACTTCAGAATGCAGAGTGTTTAAGCCATTCTATATTACATTTATCGGAGAGCTCAAAAGAAATTTTACAAAACTCTAAGGTTTTCTAAAAGGGTTTCTGGAAAACCTGTTAACAAAAAATATGCTTTTTTCGATTTTTCGATCTTATAATCACATTTAGGGGAGAAAATTAACCATATCCTGAAGTTCTGAACTCGTTCTGATGTTTATTGAGTGAATAGTAAATTTTTTAATATTTGGTGAAAACAGCCTGGAAACCCAAATTTTCGTAAAACTCGTTTTCCGGTAGATTTTTAGAACTTTTTCTAGAAATAATTATTGCCATGAGACTCAGCATGATCGATTACCTATGGTCCATCCGTTTTCAAAGCTACCAATAGCCACCGGGAGCCAGTCCTGGGACTCGTAGAAAAACCGACACAACACGTGGCCTAGTTTTCCAAAGATCTCCTAGAAAACTGATTCCATAAAACACCTTTGAAAAAGCTTTTGCTTATGGAAAGATGCCTCCAAGTCTCTTCTTTCGCATGGCGAAATTCGAAGCTCTCTAGTTGGCTTCTATCAAAAGTTATTCAAAAAGCAACCGCCTGCTTTGTATTTTGGGGCGGATAGTAATTCGAACTCATTCATCGAAGAAATGAATAGACAATAATCATTATTATACAAAACATCAACAAAAACTATGTATCAACAGTACACATTCAACAGTGTCTCTAGAGAAGATACATTTATTGTGATTTCTAATGTGTCGCCGATGAAATGCGCTCTGTTTTATTTTCATTCACCTTCTTGTTGTGCTTGCGTCCGATTCATCGCAAAAAGTGTACCATTATGAGCATACATTCTTTTACAATGCATGTTCTAAAACGTAAACAATTATCGATGATGCTCCCATAATATTAACGCTAAAGAGAAAGCTAGCTCTATTGACTATTAATCAAGAACAAATCACACCGGCATATTTTCAACAGACTAACTGAAGCAAAATGAAAATGTGTTTTTATTATTTTATATGCAACATACGTTTCTTAAAATACGTTTTACATGATAAGAATGCAGTTATTTTAAAAAACAATTTATCTGTCTTTTATTATTTTTTTGTTTGAAAGGAACGCAAACTACTACGAATAGCTAAAAAATCCGAGAAGTCTTTGGTGAACGCTTTCAATCAGAAGGCTTTGTTCGAAGTAGATTTCTATCAGGAAAAGGCAGTCAGTTAAGGTTAAAAATTTTGCACTTCCATCCATTTTTTTCCTTCAGTCACGACACTGTTTCAGACGCAAAAAGGTTCAGACTTTTTAGACTTGTCTGCTATATAATTTTGAATAGGAATCTAGTTATTTTGAGTTGAGATTGATGCCAATACTTTATTTTATTATCACTTTTGCGCATGATTTATTTGATAGATATTTTTTTCATTTGAACTACTTTGTTGTTCAGTTATTCGTAATCTGATATTTAAGAAAATAGAGCGTTTGCTATTTTACATCTGTTGTAGCAAACTTGGTTTTTCTGAAACAAGTCAGCTTTTTAGCTGATGTTATTTCACTACGATTCAATGTGCAGATATCAAGTTGTTTGCACATTCTTTAAAGATAATGTCATTTTCGAAAAGTTCTTATGTTCGTATCTGTCCACTCAACAGTAATAAATGAATGCAGTTTATTATGGTTTTGTGGTTATCGGGTTATCTACTGTGTTAAATTGTATTATTTGTCGAAAAGTAAAATTGTTATGTGGGCTTTTTCACGTTGTTTGCGTATCGAAAATTGTACGAACTAAAAATTTTTTACACAATATTTTTCTAGTTAAGATCTTTCGAAAGGTGCAACAGCGAAGAAGGAGACCACGTTTTGTTTCTTAGCGCACTAGTGATTTTCTCTATAGTAAGTACCTTTTAATATTCTGATCTAAACTCATACTGAACAAAAATTTATACTATTTATTGCATCGAACTATTATTTTGACCCTAGCACTTTTCGCACGAATGCAATAAGAAAAATAAATCAGCCTAATATACAGTTCAACGTAATACACAAAAACGTTGCATTGGTCCAATGCTTGAATACTCTTCATTTCTTTTAACAACTTGAGACATTGTTGCCATCAGTTTTTGATATCCGATTGGCAACTTGTATTCTTTTGATTTTGTGACAATTTCTTGGCGGGAGTCGATTTTTCTTGTTCTTCAACAGCAATTTCGGATAAACGCTGCCAGTGTGGGCTACTGTGTATTTTTTCTAACTCATCAGGAGCCAAAAATCCAAGTTTCGCATCATCGTTTCCATCACTATGTCCAGAATCAATACCTGCATTAATATTGATGCTAGTACGGTCATTTTTACTTAATAATTGATCTAAATGACGATCACATGGTTGTTGAACTGAGGACATTATTTATCAGTGGTATTAGCTAATAGCAATTAAAGAATAATAAAACGTGTATGATGGATAAATGACGATTTCTTCAAGTTTTCGTGTATTTATACGTAAGTCTTATGACCCGATGGACTGTAAAAAACACACAGCGTGGTAATGTGCAAAAATCTTTTCTATTGTATCTGTGTTTCTTAGTCATGCATAGACAGTATGGTCAGATCATCCTTCATCAATCTAACACATGATATTTCCTTTGAAAAGTTTTATCTCTTCATTTCTAGTTAAACTAATCTATGAGAAAAATAAGTGTTTGCGTGTGTATGTTGGTAGAAAGAGAACAATGAATGTACGTCAACGGGCAAAAAAATAAAGTAAAAAGGTAAAACAAAATAATATTGTACCGAAACAGACGGATGCATGATCACGTTTCTGTAATTATGAAGTTCATGTTTTTCCTTTCATTCACAGTGGGCAATTTTGACTAGACACGTGGACATGTGCTACAAAAGCGGTGCGAAAATCCCTAAAACTCTTTTTATAGGTTTTGTATGTGCTCTTTCCAGAGGGATGATTTTCAAACTTTCAAAGTATGTTCTTACAGGTTTTTCAGAGACCGGATTTCCGGAAATTCTGTGCAAACATACTTTGAAAGTTTGAAAATCATCCCTCTGGAAAGGGCACATACAAAAACCTATAAAAAGAGTGTTTAGAGACTTTCGTACCACTTTTCTAGCACATGCCTACTTGCCAAGTCAAAATTGGTGTCCATATGTTAAAATCATCGTATTACACAGGGTCGAAACATTTTTTGTTTAGAAATACTTCATATGCACATTACTCGGTGCAGTTTTGCAAGCTGACTGCAAATATGTTATTAGTTTTTAATAAAAGTGCTTCTTGTCTGAGAAAACTGAATTGTTTTAGAAAATTTTTGTTTCTTACTAGGCCCATTTTTCAGCTAATTTTCCACTCTAAGTTTCTCTGGCTGAATACGAGAGCTGGAATAAAAAATTTTATGCGATTAGATAGCTCATATTTCCGAATATATAAGACAGTCGTCAAATCTTAAAAAAGTGCATATCATTCAAAATTCCAGCTCATGTCCACGTGGTTGTTCACTGTGTCATTTGAATGTAATGGGTCTTTTGGTAAACTATTTGTGTTAATTCAGCCACTTCGTATAAACACAATGTTTGATAGATTGTACATTCAAAATAATTAACGTAAAATATATAGTGATAATACTTCTAGTATTTGTTCTCGTTGTTGCAATATCTCAGTACTTTCAAGCTCAGTACTTTCAGCAAAGTTTGCGAACGCACCATCTACAATCCAATAAGCCAACTTACTCAAAAGAATTTCTAACGGGTGTTTCATGTTTTAATCGATCAACGTTGCAATCACCAACGTTGCAAAAATGTGTACAAGATTATATGCAGCAGACATTCTTCACTCTTCTTAATACATTCTTGTTTTCATTGTCTGTCGTTTTTATTAGCAAACAGAAATATTTTGACATCATCTCTTTCAATGAAGAAAACGAGTCTTTCACATACGGGCTCAGATGAAGAAGACTTTCTTTTTTTGACTAACTGATCATTGCACGATGTGTCTATCAACGTACAGAGGTTAAAACCGGAATGTTTTAGAAAACAATGACCTATATCGTGGATATCTGAGTTGAAAATACGTATTTATCAGTTGTTGATTCTCTATCTCTAAGAATTATTTCAGTCCGAAACCAATAGTTCCTTATCATTTTGTAGCAAGATAAAAGAAGACGGGGTAGATATTAGTAACTGTTTCCAGTGCCACTGGTACACTTACATATTTTTATATTCAAACTAACATGAATATAAACCCGTTTAAACATCAACGTTCAATTAGCATATCGAATACAGTTCGGTGTGTTGCACCAGTTAGTGGATGTTTTTGTGGACGTTTTCCATTAGCTGTAAAAATTTCAAAAAAATAAATCTGAATGAATATTAGTCCTGCTATTCCGAAGAAGGGAGTAGTCTGTACGTTGAGAATAGTAACAGTTAATAATAATT